AGTGATGAATCGAGGGGGACTAGCACCTCACGGGATTTGAAGATTATACTTCTGTTAATAAAGATGTAGATAGGGATAGCATTAGCTGTCCTCCAAATGGATAAATGTTCTTTTTTATTTATGTTATGGTATCTCACTCCAACTCAAGGAAGTTCTCTCTTTTTCCCTCTCCCCCTCTTCTCTGTGTATAGGAGAACATTCAAAAGCAGTCTCCCCCCCGAGGGGGACTAGCACCTCACGGGATTTGAAGATTATACTTCTGTTAATAAAGATGTAGATAGGGATAGCATTAGCTGTCCTCCAAATGGATAAATGTTCTTTTTTATTTATGTTATGGTATCTCACTCCAACTCAAGGAAGTTCTCTCTTTTTCCCTCTCCCCCTCTTCTCTGTGTATAGGAGAACATTCAAAAGCAGTCTCCCCCCCACCCCACCTGTATCCCAGGAGGTACTGCTCATTCTTCAGTGGTGACTAATTACACAGCGGTGATGAACTGCTCTGGATTTTACTCTAAAATAGGGACGGGATATTGGGATTTATCTCCTGGGGGGGAAACGAATACGAATATTGCCATCAGAGGTGGCTGGGCTGATTAGACCCTCAGCCCCAAGAACTGGGCCATCCACTCATTACTTCCGGCGTGGCACGTGGAACCCATTGCAGTTTGTGCCTCGCCAATCGCAGAATTGGTCCTTCTGTGGCTTCCCTGCCTCCTTGTGCTGCTGACCACTCAGCAGCTGAGCAGGGAAAGGCATCATCCTGCCCCCTCACCAGATTGGTCATCGGCACAGGGAAGTGGGGGGAGCTTCAGCTGGGCTACTTCCATGATTGACACAGCATGAATGATGATGGCAGTGCATACTGTAAGGCATAAGCGGTAAGTGGACGGCCTGGTTCTGGCGGGAGGGTCCAATTGGCTCAGCCACCTGTAAATATCCCAGCTCTACTCTGAAGTTTACAGGAGTAGAGCAGGAGTTTCCGCGTTGCCAAACATATGTCGAAGACAGGATTCAGGACCACGGAGAGCTCCTGTGGAGTTTATACTAAAGCTCTGAAGTGGATTTACTGCACGCCTTCTAAAACTGGAATCCTTACCTTCCACTTCTGTTCTCCTAGATTTCCTTTAGGACTCACTTTGAGTTCTTCAGGGCTCCCTCTTCACTCTTCTTCATGTATCATGTGAACCTTTTCTGCCCTACTAGGTATTGGTCTGATGGCCGTCCCAGTCACTCGGAGGCCAGCGGAGAACTGGAGAAAGACTGCACATCCATCGTACCTTCCTTGAGCGGGCCTAACTGGAACAACGCCAACTGCCATGAACTGAAAAAATGGGTCTGTAAGGAGAGCCTCGATGTTGGAGAACCCTGAAGGTGGCCAAGCCCTTTACCGAGAGCAATGCTAGAAGATGGAGTGTTTTTTTTCATTTCAGTGTCAAGCCCACCCCACGAGAAATCTACTCATTACAGAATAAATAAGCACGTACTCTTCCATTCCAGTCTTGTTCCTTCAGTTCCCTGAAACACGATAGCGGTGTTACAATTAGTAGGGCCATTTCCAATTGGAGAGCACCTTTCCCCAGCAATCTGAAGACCTTTAGGGTCTGTTCAGGGCTTTTCCTCCTCTGATTTTCTATGAGAAGAAAACAGAGGGCTGAAGAAATATAATGGGGCATTGGGTGGGGCTCGGGGTTGGGTTGAAGACTTCATTGTCTGAAGTCCTCCCCAAACGCAGCAAAGGAGTAGGGCAGTGCCATGGAAAATGCTTTTTGTGGGGTTGCTCTATATTGTACTCAATGGGTCCTGGGCAAGGGACTGCCATTTTCCATCAAGGTCAGAGCTGGGTGTTCTCTGGTCAGGGCAATGCCCAGCGGACGTGTGATGTCTCCTGCCTTTCTTTCTGATGGGAGAAGCTACCTATGAGGCAGAACTCTGGGCATGGCGGGACAGTTCTGTCACAAAGGGTTTTCTGTGTTCACCTGTCAGGCTTTTTTTCACCCTAACCTTTCCCTCTCTTATCATACCTGTCAGCCCTTTTTTCCCCCAAAGAAAAGACCCCACATTTTATCCCCCTTGCATTGGAAGAGTTGGAATTGTTGGCTTTGGGGTGCATATGAGTGACCCTTCTGTTCCTACAAACATAGAAAAGAAAAATGCACAGTTCAGGGACCGTGCTTGGATTTCAGGCATCCTGTGGCATTTGAGGCTTCTTGAAAATCTGTACATGTGCTAAAAATAGAGCCATGCACGTTTTCAGGACCAGTCTGCTTGGTAAAATAGTTGCCGCAGGTGGCAGAGGTGGCAAGTCAGAAAGCCCGAGGCCTGAACACCTCTCTATAGAACTTTAGGAAGAATCAGAACCCTGTATTCATTACAAGCGGCATTTATTTCTGAAAAGGTTAATCCTAGAATGAAACCAGATAACCATTTCCAATCCTATCAAGATTCCTCTGGGGATAAGATATAAGTTTCTTCATTGTTGCAGTGATTTCAGGCAACACCAGCTTCCCTATTCTTACAAATTTTATTTATCTACATTGTTCTACGTTCCATTAGCACGAAACTACTTAGAAGTTGTTAAGAACATACAGAAGTCTGAAGAGCTATGGCAAAACCATAGGCAGAAATGGTTAAGCAGAAATCCAGTCCTGCATCTTGTGAAAAACTGCAGGTATTATTGCCATCCAAAGTTCTTTACAACATTGAGAGGTTCCAAACAAAAGTACGTTTAAAAAAATGAAAGCCTGTGTTGAAAGCAGAATTTAAATCAAATGATACTTGTTTTAAAATGTTAGGAGCATACTTTCTAAAATCACAGGAGCCTATAGCCTAAAAAAGCACTTCAGGCATATTACAGACAGAATGGAGAAACAGGATCAACTCATCCAACTTGTATCAGTCCTCCCTCCCTCCTTCCCTCTCTCTCTCTCTCTGTGTGAAATCCTGGATTGTGCAGCTTGCCCAAGGCCACACAGGCTGGCTCTTCTCCCCAGAGGCAAAGTGGGGAATTGAACTCTCTACCTTTGGCTCTGCAGTCTGATACTTAAATCACTGAGCTATCTAGCCATTTGATTCCTATCTAGTCTTGGGGAAAATAGAAGGGAGGAGGACAGTAATATTTGGCTGGGGTTAGCAAGCATCTCTCTGCCACAGATGCTAGTGGTCTTCACATATACAGGGAGAAGAATGTCAAACAGAGAGCTATAGTAAGCCTTACATGATTTCCAAAACCATCTCTTTGTTTAGACAGTTATGAGAACGGAAGGGAATCCGGGGTCGGGAAGGACCATCCCCTTCCTTTGCTCCTGAGCCATCGAGGCATAGGCCTGACCCAGGTGTGGCCTTTTAGGGAGGTGCTCATGTTCCAGAGGAACAAGATCCAGGAGGAGGTTACAAATAAGGAAAAGCATCATGCAGGAGGTTCTCCTGAGGCTAGGAAATTCACTGGCTTCAGGGAACAGAAAGGTAAAGACACAGATAAAGCGGCCCTTCAAATTGTACCTTCTGCTTGGAAGAACAAGCACCTGGGCGATCCTCTTAGAGCGGCGGAGCTGGAAGGGGCCCTCTGGATCATCAAAGGCCCCATGGGGGATTCAAACTCTCAGCCTGCGGTTCCACTGCCAGAGACATAAACCCCTGAGCTACTCTGCAGTTCATGACCATCATGTCCAGGTTAGGCAACTGTTTCTGGCCATGATCAGGCAGATGGTAAGCACTTGTGGATCAAAAGGTCCTTCCTCAGGCTGAAATAGATCTGTTGGTCTTCAAAGTGCCATTATGTTTCGGGTTTGGGTGTTTTCTTCTCTGCCCCCAACCCCATTTTCCTGTTTTCACTTTTACCAACGTGTTGAAGCAGAACGACATGGAAATTTCTTTGGAGACTGGTGTACAGGATTATGAATCCCACTTCAGACATTTTATTAAGACGGCTGACAATATAATATTTTATATGGCCTAAGTTTATTCAAATGATACAGGACGAGATGCTTGGACAGGGTCACTGAAGCGACCAACATGAATTTGACCCAACTCTGGGAGGCAGTGGAAGACAGGAGGGCCTGGCGTACTCTGGTCCATGGGGTCACAAAGAGTCAGACACGACTAAATGAATAAACAACAACAAAAAGTTTATTCAGTGTACCCAGTGTGGTGTAGTTAAGAGAGTAACAGACTAGGACTCCAGAAAACAGGGTTCAAATCCCTGTTCAGCCACGGAAAATTCCCTGGGGGTGTGGAACGGGTCAAACCACTCCTTAAATATCTCATTTAACTTGAAAGCCCTGTTAGGTTTGGAATAAGTCAGTTCTGACTTGATAGCACAGAACACACAGATGTCGCAATGACCGGACAGGCAGGGTATAAATAAAATAAATTAAATTAAATTAAATTAAATTAAAATCAGCTGATGGGATCAAACAAAATGCCTGTTTGGAAGAGATGTTGGAGGGAGGGGGTCCCATGGAGATGGAATTAATGGCTTAAAGGAAACAAAGGAAGTCCTGTGTTGGATTTTAGGGTTGGACAAGAACGTCCTTTCCTTCAAGGAATGGGCACCCAGAAAACAACCACATCTGGATTGTTCTGCCTTATTTTGAACATTCTGATACACCACCGTTGCTGTCTCTGTGGTGATCCCCTCAGCCACTGGTCCAGCCATCACCATCTTTCTCTTCTGCCCCAGAAGCTGACAGATCTCCCCGTTTTGGTAGAAGGTCTTTTCTTGCCTAAAACAGTGGAGGCAACATGACCAGAACCCACTGTGTTTTTGTTGTTGTTGTTGTTATGTGCCTTCAAGTTGCCTCCGACTTAACAGCCACCCTATGACTGAACAACTTCGAAAGTGTCTTCAACAGCCACCACCCATATATGCCCCCAAACATCAGCCAATATCACCAGGTTTCAGAAATTAAGCAAGGTCAAGCCTGATTAAGAGATGGGAGACCACCAGGGAATACCAAAGATCTCAGATTAGGGCTAGGAAGCAATCTGGGCTAAAAACCCTAGAGAGCCATGGCTGCTGCCGGCCAGGGCTGGCCGTATTAGGCTGGGTGGACCAAGGAGTCTAGCTCAGTCTAGGCAGCTGCCTCTGTTCCTATAGCAATTAGGAATTATGTCAAAGGCTTGGGTGGGGCAAGAGGGGGCCAGCCAATCAGCAAGTAGCTTGGGTCACAGCAGGGCTGCTCAATGGGTGAAGCCGGGAGGACAAAGGGAGGGAGCCGGGGAGCTGGGTGGAGGCGCCAGAGGCGATGGGAGACACCGAGAGGTGTAGTGCCTGATTCCAGTGAAACCCACCCGGAAGTAGAACATCTCCTGTAATTCCTAAAAGGAACCAGAAAAGGAAGGACAGGTAGGGAAGGCCACCCAGTCTGCTCCTTGCGTTGCATCGGGTTTTCCTCTCTTGGGTGGATTTTCTTAGATTGACCCTGAATCACCCTCTACTTGCCTTCCGTATTTGGAATGTAAAGGGATTTCTTGTTGCTTTACTCTCCACACACAGAAATATTCTTGTGTTTCTGTTTTGTTTTTCAATTAGAGCCTGTTTTTTTAAAAACCATCTAGTTCAAAGGCATTTCTGGGCTGGATTAGGGTCTTTCCTAAATATTTAACTTTAGCCTTCCGTTTTGCCTTCTGTTTTTTCTCTTGGTTTGAAACAAGTGGAAGGGATGGTGGCTCTCTCTCCCGACTTCCTCCAAGTTTGAAGATGTTTCTGAGCTTCCTGTCAAGGATTGCCACATATCACAATTGCCCACCTCCACAATTTTTACGACAGAAACTGGCATTGCCCTTTGCTTGTTTTTCAGAAGATGAGTTCCTTAACCGTTTGAAGTGTCTGAATGCACGGTGGAAGGTTGCCTCAGTTCCACTAATAGGCAAATCCACTTCTCCGTTTTGTGGCTGGTCTTCAGGACGGAAGCCTAGCATTCCATTCTAGTCCAATTTCTCAGACACACAAACCTTCCTGAATCACGACTCTCCAACCGTAACGGGCTTTCAGTTTTAACCATGGGCTATCTGTCCCCTCCATTTTTGCTTTGCAAAGACACCCTGTTAGCCCTCAAAATGATGAGCTGAATGCCAGGATTTAGCTTAGCAGCCAAGATATACCTGGTGCTTCTGGATGTCCACGGACAGCTCTAAACAAATCCCTGGAATAAACAGGGGCCTGGTGGCAGGAAACGGCTCGTCTGCAATGTCATTTTAACAGTCCTTTCTTCTTTCATCTTATCCTTCAAGCCATGGCTCCCAAAGCAGCGAAAGGGAAAGCCCCTCCGAAAGGTAAACCCGGACCAAAAGATAAGCCCCCCGAAGCCGGAGGAGGAGAAGGAGGAGGAGGAGTAGAAGGAGAGGAAGAAGAGTATTTTGACATCCAGGACATCAACCCTTTAAAAAATGTGCCTGTCAAGAAAATTTACATCGGTCTGGCAGTCATTTCATTGCTTGCCATTATTGCCATGGCTGCAGCCATCCATATCTGTAAGTTCCACTCTCCTTCGAGGTGAGATCTGGTCTGGGGAAGGAAACAGTGTCAGATTTTCCTGGAAGGGAAGCCAGGCCACTGCCTCTGAAGATGATGGTGGTGGTGGAGGAGGCAGGACCAGGGAGGGAGGCGATGGGGGCAGCGGGAAGGGGGAGGGCAGGTGTCCCTTTTTGCCGAAGCAAAACAGAGCGGGGGGAAAAAAAAGATTTGGCCCTTGTTTTGTTTCGGCAAAACGAGCTTCATGAACAGAACCACAAACCAGACTGGTTCCTGGTTTTTGTTTGTTTGTTTATTTGGTTTGCCCCTTTTTGCCGAAGCAAAACAGAGCGGGGGAAAAAAAGATTTGGCCCTTGTTTTGTTTCAGCAAAACGAGTTTCATGAACAGAACCACGAACCAGCCTGGTTCCTGGTTTTTGTTTGTTTGTTTGGTTGGTTTGCCGTTTGGTTCATGCCCATCACTCATTTATTTTATTTTTATTTATTTATTATTTATTAATGTGATTGCGTTCCCTTCCAAAGCAGCTGCTGAGTTTTCTGCTTTCTCCTGCAATGTAGCCACATGCCAAGGTGGAGGGTGCCATCTTCTCCCTAGGATGAGGGTCTGATATGGGTTCTGTCGCTCTAAGGACCCGCCACCTCTCTGTGTCACAAGATTCTGCAGGTTCTACCTCTTGAACTGGGTATTCTTACTCCTCCTGATAATCCCCTAACCCACCAGGCCCCGCCTGGAGAGTCTGCTCAGCTCCGTTCCCAGAAACACTCCATCTTCCCTCCATCATCAGCCGTCTCATTGGGGAAACCCCTTCCCTCCTTGGCTTGAGAAAACACGATGTGGCTCTTTCCCCAGGATTAATCTTGGCTTTGATTGTTGACAGTCCGTTAATTTTGAAATACTGTAATTGTCTCTGATTTGCCCTCATCTTCTGTATTAGTTGTTTTTATAAAGAGAGATTTGGTTCCCCTTGTTTGATGTTTTAATTTAATTGTTATTTTAGTTTTATTTTATGTCTACATTGTGATATTGTCCGGTTGATTGATCGGTAGGTAGGTAGGTAGGGAGGTAGGTAGGTAGGTAGGTAGGTAGGTAGGTAGGTAGGTAGGTAGGTAGGTAGGTAGGTAGGTAGGTAGGTAGGTAGGTAGGTAGGTAGGTAGGTAGGTAGGTAGGTAGGTAGGTAGGTAGGTAGGTAGGTAGGTAGGTAGGTAGGTAGGTAGGTAGGTAGGTAGGTAGGTAGGTAGGTAGGTAGGTAGGTAGGTAGGTAGGTAGGTAGGTAGGTAGGTAGGTAGGTAGGTAGGTAGGTAGGTAGGTAGGTAGGTAGGTAGGTAGGTAGGTAGGTAGGTAGGTAGGTAGGTAGGTAGGTAGGTAGGTAGGTAGGTAGGTAGGTAGGTAGGTAGGTAGGTAGGTAGGTAGGTAGGTAGGTAGGTAGGTAGGTAGGTAGGTAGGTAGGTAGGTAGGTAGGTAGGTAGGTAGGTAGGTAGGTAGGTAGGTAGGTAGGTAGGTAGGTAGGTAGGTAGGTAGGTAGGTAGGTAGGTAGGTAGGTAGGTAGGTAGGTAGGTAGGTAGGTAGGTAGGTAGGTAGGTAGGTAGGTAGGTAGGTAGGTAGGTAGGTAGGTAGGTAGGTAGGTAGGTAGGTAGGTAGGTAGGTAGGTAGGTAGGTAGGTAGGTAGGTAGGTAGGTAGGTAGGTAGGTAGGTAGGTAGGTAGGTAGGTAGGTAGGTAGGTAGGTAGGTAGGTAGGTAGGTAGGTAGGTAGGTAGGTAGGTAGGTAGGTAGGTAGGTAGGTAGGTAGGTAGGTAGGTAGGTAGGTAGGTAGGTAGGTAGGTAGGTAGGTAGGTAGGTAGGTAGGTAGGTAGGTAGGTAGGTAGGTAGGTAGGTAGGTAGGTAGGTAGGTAGGTAGGTAGGTGTCAAAGTAAACAAACTTCAGGATGCTGTAAGTTTCAGCCACCTTGAACTTCCCGCAGATGTAGACCCTTGGGCCATAAGACAAAACATACCGTGTCTGTTGTAGATTACTGCAACATCAATGTCAGCCTCCTCTACTCTTCTCCTGGCCTCCCTCTCAGCTTGTCTTGCTAATTTATTTATTCATTCATTCATTCATTCATTCATTCATTCATTCATTCATTCATATACCACCCTATTAGCACAGGACATTATTCTGACTGTTGTAGGTGTTGAATCGAAATAGCAAGACATAAAGACATATTCAAACTGAATAAGAACCAAACAACCATGAGCAAAAATAGGCAGGTCGTGAAGCCCAGATGGTGCGGGGAAACCGAGATGCAAAGGAGAGCGGGCAAGTCCAGCAGAGCCAGCCAGCCAAGGCTTATTGGAACAGAGACATCTTCAGCAGCCTCTTGAAGTTTGGGAGGGAGGAAGCCTAGTGTGGCTCCATTGAAAGAGGGTTGCAAAGAGTTGTTACCCAAAGGGGTTCCTGTTCTTTATAGCCTGGGGAGAGGGACGAGGAGAGAGAGAGAGAGCCTAGCCAGACTACGGAGAAGAAGACCGTACACCAAATATTTTAGGTTAAGCACTACTCATGCAACATTCATGGATAAGACATAAGACAAAAGATATCAAGAGGCCTCTCTTCCATACTTCCCATGCACACAAGATACTCACTCATCCCAAAGACCCTTCCCTGACAGGTGACCCGTCTCTCAGCAAGGGCAATGGGAGCAGCGCGGATCAAAGCCACGCCGTCTCTTCCTGGATCATCCCTCTTATAGCCATTTCCCTTATGGGCTGTGTCTATGGGATGAACCTGGACTGGCCTAAGCACACCTGGTTTCCACGGCAGATCGAATCTGCCGATGTCAGGTGAACCAGCTCTTTGCACGTGTCCTTTACGGCAGGTGTACCTACCTCCCCCTTCCTCAAGCCGGCCTCCTCCAGTTTAGTTGGCCCTCTTGTTCCAGTTCGCTTCCCTCTCCTGTCTGGACAAACAAGTGCGAACGTCCAAACCTCTGCCCACGCGGCAGTGTTTAGTTAATGATGAAACTCTCTTTTGTTTGCAACTTACAATTTCTTTGCAGCTTTGTATTAAGCACACTATCCCATCTCCCCCTTGTGATCCTCCATTCTCTATTTTGGTCTGGGGTGCTGTTTTGTTTTTTTCTGGAACCCACACACTCTCTATCGCACACTGTCACTCAAAGCAGAGTTGGTGCCAGCGCTGAGAACGCCTGGCTTCTCCTTGAAGATTTGCTGTCCTCCTTTGGCATGGCTGCTTGAAGGATCTGGGAGTGCAGGCAGTTGACCTAGGGGAAAGGCGCTCCGATAAGTAACATGGCCCCATTGTTAACACTTGTCTCTTCCCCTTGTTCACTTGCTCCTGCTCATGAGCTCGCAGGTAATTTACACAGACATATACAGAGGCAGAAATTGATCAGGGCAGAAGGTTTTCTTGCACAGCAAAAAGTGTTGTCTGTAGGCAATAAAGTTTTTTTTTAATGACATGTTGGGGGAGGAATGGTAGCTCTGTGCTACCTTTTTGCATCCATAATTGCATGCACCAGAATCTATTGAGTAGACATTTTGGGCGTAAGCCGCTTATTTATATTTTATTTATATATCGTCATATTCTTTTAAAATCACCCTTGATGCTCCTCTGAAGGAGGATGCATGTATTTCAGTCACCCACGTGAAGCCAGCTTCGCGTGTTCACAGATCTTCCAAGATTGAGACATCCGTTCCTAACATGTTAACCTTTGATGTCTGAATTTTAGACCAGACCTTGAAGGCAATAGATAAGCTCCCCATTGAAGACCCGATGAAAAAGCTCAGGCGCACAATGGCCATCGGACTCAGAAATCCTAACATCAACTACCAAAGCCGTACGTAGAAGCTCAGCAATTATTTACCCTATATAACAGAAGCCCTGTTTCCTATGCTCTTTTTATTTCTGGACTGGAGATTTCTTGAAGGAATAGGCAGACCATATGCATTACATCCCGCACTGCCTGGAAAAAAGGAAGAAAGGTTTTTTGTCATGGTCTTCCACAAGAAATCTTATGCCTGAGGAAGTGGGCTTGTCCATGAAAATTCACGTTAAAATATGCAGTTAGTTTTTAAGGTGCCCCAACCTTTTCGTCTTTAATTTTTAATTTTTTTGCATGATAGGCTAGCACAGACTAACATAGTAACCGCTCCTAAAGCTGCTAGAATCTGGCATCTCTCTGTCTGCTAGACTTCTTTTCCATCACTGTGGTATTGGAAGCCTACTCTTCAATAGTCTTTACAAGAGTTGATGCCACCTGTTAGCAGAGTAAGAGCAGCAAGCAACAAATTCAGTTTGTGGGTTTATCCCCTGAAAATAAGAATGGCCAGCAAAGCAGACATTATCTCCTGGGGGGCAAATGCCAGCTACTGTTCTATTCCTCTCTTTTTTGGTGACAATTTTTTTTACTGTTGATCTGTTCGGTTGGTTGCTAGTATATGTGCAGTGAAGGAAGTAGTATACACAAGTCTGTAATTTCATGCAACTCTTAAGTTCTTTTCCCTACAAATGACTCAGAGTGAGTTACTGAGACATTAAGTGCCAGTTAATGAGAAAGGGCACTTGAAACTCTTCTCCTCTGTGGATTTCTGTACTTTAACTGTGTCGTGGAAGGAGAATTTTACCAGAAATGCAAAACTCTGTGATGGACAAAAGAGTGAATTTCTTTTCCTTCCTTTCCTGGCTGATTCCCAAAAAGACTAACTGATCCCTCTCCCATAAGAGGAAAACGCAGGCATTAGAGAAAATACAGGCCAGATTTTTTTAATGGTATCAACATCATTATGGTATCAAAAGGTATTCCCTTTTCTGGAGATGTTTGGTTAAAAAGCAACCACCGGTTTTGAGGGCCTCCTGGATTCTGACCAGTTGAAAAACCCTTCCCCTTCTCTGATGGTCTTTTTAGCCTTTATGTTGCTGTTGGTTGCTTTAGAGCAGGGGTGTCAAACTCAAATTCATCGGGGGCCACATCAGCAGTTTGGTCCCCATCAAAGGGCCGGTTGTATCTGTACTGATGGCCTTGCAAGG